TCAGGAGGCAGCCAATCAATGATTCTCTCTCTTCATTGATGTTTCTATCTTTCTCTCCCTCTTCCTCCCTCTCTGAAATCACTAAAAATATATAAAAAAAGAATAAATATCTTTATTACCTTGGAATAAAGAGGGTGTCTTCAAACACAAAGGAAAATGATAATTGTGATTAGATTATATACAGAGGTGGGCAAAAGTAGGTTAATAATAAACAATACAATAATTAATAAATAATACAAGAATGAACTCTGTTTTTTGCACTCACAGTTGTAAGCCTACTTTTGCCCACCCCTGTATGTCAACATTACTTTTTCTTATAGGAATCCAAAAGCAAAGTTTAGAGACAAACAGACTGGAAGAAGATAATTTCAAGATATGAAATCGATGAGAAAAAGACAAGTATCTCAGAAGAAAAATGAGCAAAGCAAATGAACAAATTACAGAAGTAGAAACCTAAAGAGCCTGTAAACATATGAAAAGACTGGAGGCCTGGTGCACGAGGGGGGTGGGGGGGTCCCTAAGCCCGGCCTGCACCCTCTTGCAGTCCGGAAGCCCTTGGGGGATATCTGACTGATGGCTTACGCCCACTCCCCATGCCTAAGCCGCAGTCTGGCCTCCCTCTGCAGGCCAATTAGGGGATGGCACTGGCTGGCGAATGGCTGGCCCTGCCCTCCCCTCCCCCATTTCCCCTCCGCTGCTGCGGGCTGCTGTCCCCTCCCAATCACTGCCCCTTCCCTCTGCCTGCTGGCACCCACCTTGGCTGGCCTGGCACCATCTGCTGGCCATCCCGCCAAATAGTCATTCCGCTGTTTGATCAATTTGCATATTAGGCTTTTATTATATAGGATGCTCCACTTCGCTAGTGATCAAGGAGGTGAAAATTAAAGCAACTCTAAGATATAATTCCACACCCATCAGTTCGGCCAACATTTAATCTATCCACACTAAGTCCTGAGAGCAGTGTGGGTGAATGAGAAGATTTCTGGGAGAGCAGCTAACAAACAAACAAAAACTGCTGCTGTTCTGGTCACTGGAAGGGCCTTCTCGCTCCCTGTTGGGAAACACAGCCAGAAGGACATGAGAGCTGGGCTGTAGGCATCCTTGCTCCTTCCCTTTTCTTGCATTCTCTCCTCTGGGTACAACAGTACTGATGCTCTTCCCCCATTTGTCCTCCTACAGGTCCGACTACCTGGCCATCCCATCGGAGAACAAGGAGAACTCAGTGGTGCCCGTGGAGGAATAGAAGGGGTGCGGCTCCAGGTGACGTACAGGAAGCAGGAGGGAAGGTAGATAAGGATGGCGATTGTACAGCGACTTTAAACTTGGGCCCTTGGATGACTTTGTACCTACCCGAGTCCCACCCTCAGGACACTGCTCTAAGTTGATGCCCGACTCACAGAGCTCTGTGTGATGTCAAGCCCTCCAGAGGGAATTGCGTTGGCTGAGTGTTGGGGCAGCTGGAACTCCTTCCCGTAGTGACGCAGGCAGAGCAGTTCTCCCCTCCCTCCTTGTTAGGACGTGCGTCTGGTCAGAGCCGTGCTGCTGGACGGGCCTCCTCAGTGAGCTGTGCTGCCAGTGACAGGTGACCTGAACACAGGGACTGGGTGCCCAGCTTCAGTGATGTCACCGCACCAGGAGGTGCCCCAGAGGCCACACTGCCCCCCTCCTCCTCTGGCCTCTAACTCCATCCCACCTCCACACACCACCAGCCTCTGCCCGAGCTGAGGAGCCAACCTCTCTCCACATACGCCGCCGCACCCCGCCTGGCGTTTGGGCAGCAGCAGCCATGCCCACTGGACTGCTCCCCGGGCGCCGAGCGGCTGTGCACAAGTCTGGAGGCAGCACAGCCCCTGCCCGTCACGGGAACTGGCTCGCGCCCACTGACTACTCCACGTGAAGGGCTGTCTTCGTGGCCGGAAGCCAGGTGACCAGCCGAGGAAAGCAAGAGTGTCACGGGGAGGGATTCCTTGAAGCTGGTGTTTCCGAGGCCTTGACCCCCTTGACCAGAGCGCCAGAGCCAAGCACGCTTTCCGGGTTCTACGACAACGGTAGTTCCTGCTGGAGGACGAAGATGTTCCCTGGGGCTCGGTTCTCCAGGACTAGAACCCAGGTCTCAAAGGCCCCGCTGGTCTCAGTCCTTCCAGAAGCCAAGCACCAGGGATTGGGAGAGACTCAGCAATTTAAATGGCTTTTCAAAGTCACACAACATGGTCACGATCCTATGGACACGTATGCCCTCCGCCTCCCGCCGCCACGTCATCCCGCCCTC